ATTCACCAACATCCAATCATCATATTTCCAGAGGAATGCTGACATCACAAATCAGATTAACCCTCCAACTGCAACAACTCCACTCAACTCCTTCAGAGTGAAGGTACTACCTTTCCTACCTTCAGGACTGCAATATCCCCACTATTTCAGAGTGCAAGTACTGCCTTTTCCACCTTCAGGATTGAAGCATCCTGAACTCTGCTTCAGAGTGCAGGACTCAAGTCTGGCTAACTGCCATCTCTGAATCCCTTCATAAAAGTTAACTTACTCACATTCCAACAACACATTCATTACAAACTAACTGTTCCAGTTTACTTCTATTTAACATGCTCACACAAGAGTACTGGATGCTCAAGCCCCTAAAGCTCAAACCCTCTTGTACCCCATCCCTCCAACCATTCCTGGAATAACCCTTCCTTTCTACCTTCCACTTCAAATTTTTACACCTTCTACCTCAACCTATCTCTCCATCCTGTCTACATGCCCAAACCTCCTCAACAACCCCTCCTCAGTTATCTCAATTTTACCATAGGTCACCCAACATTTTTACTTCTATGCTCCAAATTCTCTACATTATAGTCACACCACACATTATATTTTATTAGAGTTACCTGTCAGAGTGGAGTGCTATTATGTAATAACACCTGTATAGTTTAAAACTAGTTCATGTTTCCCCAAAATGTTGAACATAACTTTTTAATCCACACTAAACGTTTAAACAGTTTACTAACTCTTTGTAATACATATATGCTGTTAACACACTGGCCGTCTTCCACCAAGGTAGTGTGACCCAAAAAAGAAACTTTCCCCATCATTCACACTATCACTGTCTTGCCAGAGGCATGCAGATATACCATTTCAGATGCTCCTCCAAACATCAAATATCCCCACCCACTTTATCATTATTATTATTATTATTATTATTATTATTATTATTATATACAACTAATCAGTACCTGTTCAATCACTATATGGGTGATTATTTGATAAAACTCTGAATCAAAAAGAAAAAAGTTTCAAATAGTAATTTAATAATCTTCAAAAACCAGAGAAAACTTAAACATGAGATACATGGCAAAATGTTTGTTTGTTGATTAAAAGTCCAGTAATTACCTCTACACAAGACTGATCTATTCTCGAGTTTATACATATGATAGCCTTTTTTTGCATTTAAAACTGTATGCATAAAATTGTTATACTAATGTTAAGTTATGAGATAAGGCATCTCTACATTTATTCAGAGCAAAGGTGGTGATGATGATCCACTTGGTTGAAAAATATCGTGCATCATTGTGTTATTTTTGAGTTTACTCATATAAACACTTTACCCTGTTTTAATGCAATTTCATAAAGAAACATTGCTCAATAAATATACTTTGCTCCTCATCCTCATATCCATTTTACAGTTTTTTCAATCATGCATAAGTGAAAAATCTTGCTCAAAGTACGGAGCAAAATATGTGTTTTTCCAGAAATGTTATTATATATTAAAATTATTCATATATTGTTCCTTCCCTATGTCTGTAATTATTTTTACATTAAAATATTTGGCTGTAATTTCAATCCTAAGCATATTTAAATGGAAGACAATTTCTCTTACTTTATGATTTATTTACCTGCTTTATGCTTAGGATGCAATTTTTTTTTTTCATTTTAGCAAGTAAAACATTCTTAATGATGACTGTAATTAATTATCTATCAATAGCTAAACTTTTTGTGGAAAACTTACTGGCAACTGATCCAACAGCTTCACGCACACAAGTCTACACAAGGTCATGGCAATATCAACAATCCTATAGTGAACTCACATGTGTGACACTGCCTCACTGATCTGCTCTATTCTTTACACTCTTAATTTCATAACATGGTGAAATTTTATTTCTGTCTAACCATGTTACTGTATATGAGTAATGGGGTTTTGATACATTACATTGATTATATACTTTTTTTTTTTTAACAAGTCGGCTGTCTTCCACGGCCGATTAATAATTAAAGCAATGAAAATAAAGATAACCCCCAAAAATAGTGAGTATAGCATAACTTCTTTTACCTCTAATTAGACTTCAGTCTGCTTCACAACAACCATTTACTTCCTCTCCATCATATTTAGCAACAACATTACAGTAACCTCTCAATACAGCAGACTTTTAAAATTATAGACAAAATGTACTTTTAACTCCATTATTTTCAATATTTAATGGAATATCTCTGTAAAATGTGTATACACTACTATGCTAGGTAAACAGTAGACTACTTTAGTGCATTTTATTACTGTTTTTTAACATTCTCATTTAACAGACATTCAGACCCTTCCCCCCTATTAGTCTGCTATATTAAGGGTTTACTGTATGTTTCCCCAGCCCTCTTTACCATTAGGCAACATGCTCTATTTATGGCATGTAATTATTTATAGTTTTGGTTATTTGCTGTTAATTTACACCAACCTAGGTTAATTATTCTTAACATAATTTAACCTAAATGAACCAAACCTAAAACAGCTTAAATTAACCAAAGAAAGAAGGATTTTATCTTGATGCAAGAGTGACTGGTTGGGAGGGTGTGACAGCACAGACTCTTCAGAAATACACAAAAAGATACACATTAAAAAATGTTATGATGAGAATGAGTTGAAACTTCAGTCAGCAAATGTCAACTGAGTGACATGTGTACCTCCTTTTCTCATTCCCCTCAATATTGATCAATCAATCCTAACGGACATGGTAAAACAAAAAAGTCAAACTGACACTTGATGCCTCTGCAAAATGCTGCTGATGATTGTGATATCTAAGTAAGCTATTACTAAATTATATTTAGTCTCACCTGTCAATTACCACTCACTGTGACCTATGAAAGCCTAAACTAAAAATAATATGCATCATTAAGAGACTCAACATGAGTCATGTAACCTCTTTAGATCAACTTTGTTCTAAGTCAATACTTTTCTATCTGCAATAATGCCTTGATTTTTAAAATAGGAAAATAAGTTTGCAGAACTATTCAAGAAAAGCCACTTAAAGTTTCAGACATATTCCCTGGTAATATATACAAGATAGCATCTGTTAAAGTATGTCCATAGATTTTTATTTAAAGTTCTTATCTATTTTAAAGTTATGATTTAACAGATCAAAACAACAAAACATAAGGAAGAAGAGACAATACAAACGGAATTCTAAACCTAAAAATGAACAAAATTTGACAAGGTCACACCTGGCACTGACGTCATGGAGTGTGTGGCTGTACGCCTGTGCACTAGAGGGGAGAGCCAGGCGTGTGCAGGCGGGACTTCACAAACACAAGGCAAAAAACACAAAAATAAACATAATAAACAGTTTAGAGACCTTGCATACCTAGACAGAAAAGCTTTGGAAAAATAACATAAACGGCAAAAATAACATTGAAATTAGACTCACATGCTCTTATTTTCATTATATTATGGCTTCATTATAATGCGAAATTAATTCATGCACTTCTAAGAGCATCCATCCAGGTTTAAGCTTGTGTTACACTAATTGTGTGTGTGTGTGTGTGTGTGTGTGTGTGTGTGTGTGTGTGTGTGTGTGTGTGTGTGTGTGTGTGTGTGTGTGTGTGTGTGTGTGTGTGTGTGTGTGTGTGATGTGTGTGTGATGTGTGTGTGTGCGTGTGTGATGTGCATGTGTGTGTGATGTGTGATGTGTGTGTGTGTGTGTTGTGTGATGTGTGTGTGATGTGTGTGTGATGTGTGTGTGATTGTGTGTGTGTGTGTGGGGTGTGTGATGGATGTGTGATGTGTGATGTGTGTGTGATGTTGTGTGTGATGTGTGTGTGATGTGAGAGTGTTTTGTATGTTGTAGTGTGTGTTGTGATGTGTGTGTGTGTGTGTGTAGTGTGTGTGTGTGTGTGGTGTGTGTGTGTGTGTGTGTTGTGTGTGTGTGTGTGTGTGGTGTGTGTGTGTGTGTGTGTGATGTGTGTGTGTAGATGTGTTGTGTGAGTGATGTGTGGAGCTGATGTGTGGTGTGATGTATGTGTGTGATGTATATGTGTGTGTGTGTTTGTGTGCTTGTGTGTGTGTGTGTGTGCGTGCATGCATGTGTGATGTGTGTGTGTGTGTATGTGTGTACTCACCTAATTATGGTTGCAGGGGTTGAGTCATAGCTCCTGGCCCCACCTCTTCACTGGTTGCTACTAGGTCCCTCCCTGCTCCATGAGCTTTATCATACCTCTTCTACCGTGTGTGTGTGTGTGTGTATGTGTGTGTGTGTGTGTGTGTGTGATGTGTGTGTGTGTGTGTGTGTGTGTTGTGTGTGTGTGTCTAAACAGTAGTTTCCTTACAGAACTCATTTATAGGTTTTTAATAATGTGTAAGAAAATGTGTTTTCGTATATGGGTAGAAAACAGATAAATACAAAATTATTAAAAATATAAAACTGTAAGATATTTTAATAAAATATCTTTAATTAGGGCAAAAATTTGAAAAATTTAAATGCATTTGCTGATGATTTTATGTAAGTAATTCCAATGGATATGATTAATATAATTTCTATTTTCAAGTACAGTATTTTGCTATTACTTGGTTTCATTTTCCATCATGAAAACACAATTTTCATCCATGGAGCATGCAAGATACTTTTCCCATTTTAGATGTGTTTTGAAATTATATTCTAATTTTATGTCAAATATAATATGGATTTATTAATGAGCTTATACTGTATCCAATAGCAATTGATTAGCTGATCAGCAAGAAATTCCAATGTAATCATTAAACAATTTATTTCATTTCTTGTATATTGTAGACATTCAACATGTTTAAACAAGCAGTTACCAATGAAGATTTAATGATTATTGCAACTGTGCAACATGCCTCTTTGAAAATAAAACAAATTACTTGAAACATGCGATTCAACGCAATTATACTGTATTTAACAGTAATAGCCAGCCCTTGATGTATGTACGGTAATATAGATTAATTTAAGGTTTTATGTGACTGCCAGTTTTATGGGAAATATAAATTACACAAAACTCACCTTGGGAAGACATCCGTGGAAGAGTCGAGCACTTGATGGCCGGCTTGATAGGCTGTTTCTCAGCTACAGTCATAGAAAATGGATTAGTCAAAGAAAATGGGTAAAATAAGCATATAGAAAAGAAGCAGTATTGTTAGAATTATTCAAATGCTTCCTATACAGTACTATGTGAATTTCTAGGACTGTTACTGCTATTATAATAAGAAAAATATAATAAAACAATCAATTATTGAAGTAAAAACCACACAAATCCCTGGCCATTCTCCATGCTCCAACACAAAATGATAAAGACACTCCAAGCTTAATCCATCTACTTCTGTAATGGTTTCAAGACAAACACAGATGAAATAAACACCAAATGCCACAGAAAAATACAGCATAAATAAATAATTACAGATTTCAAGACAATGCATGATTCTTTCACTGTAAACAACACGCGCATAATCCTTTCATTAGCATTTATTTAAAAAAAATACCGGGAAAAACTGGAATAACATCAAGATAGAATATAAACGAAGACGCATGAAGGGCTGAATTGGGGAAACTATTACCTGCAGGAACATGTTGTTTAGGCGGCGTACTCAAATCTGGAAGGTCGTCACTGAATGACACGGATTTTTCAAACGAGACTGACTTTTCTGAAAGAGGAGAACGCCATCATCATAATCGCCACGAACTGTACTTATGTCACCATGTTGTCCATGCGGTTATACGTGTAAATATGTACATTACAACGGATCTTACACATATCATTACATAAATACACAATATACAAAGTACAGTACAAAAATTATAGTAAAAAAAAATAGGATGGCGACTGTACAGTACAAGTACGCTCAAAAGTATCTATTTTACTTGACTATGATGCCAAAATACTCTTACATTACAGGTTTGATAGTGTGTTGTGAAATATATTGGGCATGCACTAGCTCTCCAAATTCGTGGTAATTTTCACTTTATGCGAGTTAGAGCAGTTGAAAGTTATCCCAAGTATTACAACAGGATTTAGGTTCAAGTAGAAAGTCAAAAAGAGATTATTTACATAGGGATCAAACATTCATTTTAGATTCAATAGATTAAAATAGAAAATGTGTTTCGTGCCAGAAGGTATATTCTTGCAAAAATGAAAAAAGCTTGGTTATAAAAAAAAAAGAGAAATACGCAAAAATCTGTGGTTTTCTACCATACCTCTACCCCTTCCTAATTTTGGCGGCTTTGTGTCTGGTCGTAGATAAGTGTCGTCTGAAAGCATGTGACTTTCATTACGATATGAAGAAGACACCATTATTGCTTACATTCTAAGCCAGTGTAAGTATGCAACAGTCTTCCCTTTATACATATTATATTTAGTATTTTCTAAATTTAATACCAATAACTGCCAATCAATACATTCCTATTTTCAAACCGATGGATATAGTTCAAAATAAACCAAGGAAATTTTTCAACAGTCACAAATAAAATTAATGAATATTTTCGGTATCTCCAAGTATTCATTTTAAGAAATAATGAGTGAAAGGTGGGACTTATTACACTGACTTACATGGTGATATGTCAATAAATATGCAAATAACATTATTACACAGAGTTTACTGCATTAAACTGTCGAGCATTAGGCTGCCCCACTTCGTCTCACTCTACCTGACTACAGTACAACCCCACACTAATACGTGTACATGCTAATTACATGTACACTTGGTTTGACGAAATGAAATAATTTGTGAAAAAAAGGCATAATGTGAATAAAAAAAATGTGTTGTAAAAGGTGAGTAATCCTTTCTTTTACTGATGGAGACCAAGTTGTTTGATAATCCTTTCTCTTACTGATGAAGACTGAGTTGTTTGATAATCCTTTCTCTTACTGATGGAGACTGAGTTGTTTGATAATCCTTCCTCTTACTGATGGAGACCAAGTTGTTTGATAATCCTTTCTCTTACTGATGAAGACTGAGTTGTTTGATAATCCTTTCTCTTACTGATGGAGACTGAGTGTTGTCGATCTTAATGTTAAGTTGTGCAACACCTGCTCTGTTACCAAACATAATATAGAAGGTTTTATCAGTGTTAAGTCTAAGTTTATTGGCTGTCATCCAAGTAGGTATTTTTAGTAGCTCCTCGTTAACAATGGTGTTGAGTGTGGCAAGATTTGGGTGGGAGATGACATAAGTCGTGTCATCAGGAAAGAGAATGGGCTTCAGGTGTTGTGATACGTTGGGAAGATCACTGATGTGTAAGAGGAAGAGCAGGGGACAAAGGACACTTCCCTGTGGCACTCCAGTATCAAGTGGCCGTGCTGATGAGGCTGTGTCTTTAATGGTGATGTACTGATACCTATTAGTAAGATAGGATTTGAAATATGTAAGTGCATGGCCTCTTATACCATAATGGTCAAGTCTGTTGAGTAGGATGCCGTGGTCTACTGTGTCAAAAGCTTTTCTTAGGTCAATAAAAAGTCCTAATAGATATTCCTTATTTTCAAGTGCTGTGTAAAGCAGATCTAGCATATTTACAATTGCATCGTTTGTGCTTTTATTTTTTCTGAAGCCAAATTAGTAGGGGTTGAGTATGCTTTGTGCTGTTATAAACGAATATAATCTCTTGTACACGAGTTTCTTGAAGTTTCTGGATAGCAATGGTAAGTTTGATATTGGCCTATAGTTGTTTACATCTGTGGGGTCACCACCTTTGTGTATTGGTGTAACCCTTGCTGTCTTGAGTAGTGTCAGGAAAGTGCTAGTTTCTAGTGACTTGTTAAAAAGTAATGAAATAGCATGCGAAAGGACATGGGCCACTTGCTTGTACAATAATGGTGGGACGTGAGACAGATTCCCTGAATTATTTTTAAGTGACTTAATAATTGTGGTGACTTCAGTGGGCTCAGTAGGTGCAAGATAGAAAGAGTTTGGGAAATTCCCATCTAAGTAATCACTTGCACGGGCATTGGGACCTGGGATTTTACTGGCAAGACTAGATCCTATGGTTGAGAAGAGGTCATTTATCTTGTTAACTGTATCAATGGGATGCAGTGGTGTTTTGTTCAGTTTAGTTAGGACAATATCCTTAGTTTTTTTAGTTTGTGGATTCCCAGAATCTGAGAGAGTGTTTTCCAGGTCTTTTTTATATCTCCTCTTGTTTCAGTGAATCTGCTGGAGTAGTACAATTGTTTGGCTTTTTTTTATTAGTTTGGTGAGAATTGATGAATAGTGTTTAAGAATATTTTTGTGTATTAAGCCCCATCTATATTGCTTTTCATATCAGTGTTTCTTATCAATGGATTTCAGTATGCTGCTGGTTAGCCATGGGCAACTGAGCTGTTTATTCATGATCTGTTTCGCTTTTATAGGGCAATGTTTGTTGTATAGTCTAAGTAATTTATTCAGAAATATGTCTGTCCAATTGTCAATACCACTGGCCTTGGAAAATTCTGTAGGCCAGTCAACTGTCTCTAGCTCTGCTGTGAAATTACTTATTGAGGCCTAGTCATGGAGTCTAAATGAAACTTTGTTGTATTCCAGTGGTGGTTTACTAATGTTTGTTAAGAGGAAGGTGGGGTAGTGGTCAGCAGGCCCTCTCTGAGACTTATTCTAAAGGTAGCCAAATTTAAAAAAAAAAGAAAAAAAAAAAAAAAAAAAAAAAACTCATGAAAAGATAGAGAATCTTTTCCTGATCATAATGACACCGAAAGTATGAAATTTGATGGAAAATTTATGGAATTATGCTTCGCGAAGTTAGCGGTCTCGACGATGTTTACGCATCGGCGATTTTGCCCACTTTGAGCCCTATTTTCGGCCAAATCCAGTGTACTAGTCGACAAAAATCATAACTATTTTGCTAGAACTCCATTTTTTCTATCGAATGAGTACAAGAAACCACCCATTTACTGATTTCAACTATCCAATACAGTGGTCAGAATTTAGCAAATTTGCCAATTTCACACAAATTTCAAAAGATGCCAATTTCCAAATAGGGTCCAGAATAAACAAGAAAGACATTCCTGGCACTAAAATAACATTTCCTCTGTTCATTAGTCACATTCCCACGCCCCTCTTACATTCTTTTGCTTTCCACTTTGAATTTTTATTCTCACAAAAAATAGAAGATTTACTGTTATGCAGACTACTGCATTAGTGTAGAAATGGTATAAATAATATCAGCGCACTTGTGAAAGAATATTAGACTCACCAGTTGACGTGTATTGGACGCGTAGCATGATTTGTTTACTTTTGAACTTTGGTAAAAATCGAACATTTCTGCTCAATTTCAAGGTACTTTTCATTGTAAAACCAGTCAAAATCATTGCAATTTCTGTAATATGTCTTCCATTCTATAAAATGAGACCAGGAAAACTAGAATACAACAATAAATACCGTACAAAAATACAGTGCAAAGTCGCTGTTTTAATCCAAAAACATGGTCAAAGTTTTTTTTTTTCTCATTACTCACTATGTGCTGCAGGATTTTTTTTTATACTGTGCACACTCACCACATAGACTCATTCTTTCATATGTAGGCCTAGCAGCTTTCTCTCACTAGATTTGAGGGTGCTAGAATTTAGGCGTACTAGTATGTCAAAAACCCTGGTGCGTAAGCCGTACTAGCACATCCGAAACCCTGAAAGGGTTAAGGGGGCTAGTATATTGGTCCATATATGGTCAATTTATTGTTGCACTTGTCTCGGTCAGGCTGGTTGGTTTAGTTAGTGTTGGTATGAGACGTGTGTTGTTCATATTGTTGATGAAATCAGTTACAGGCTGATCATCTGGTAGGTCAAGGTTGATAATGAAGTCTCCAGCTAAGAGAAGGTGGTGCTTGTTCATTTGACTGTTTATTAGTGTCATTAATTTCTCACTGAAATTTGGGATGCTTGTGTGAGGCATCCGGTAATGGCACCGACTGTTATAGGAGTCTTAAGGTTTTTTACACTAAAATTAGTAAAAACATATTCTCCATATTCATCACTATAGCAAGTGGTGCTAATACAAGATAGTTGATTAGAGTAATAGATTGCAATACCACACCCAACTTGGTATGGTCTGCAGTTGTGGATTGCTGTGTATCCTGGTAGTGGGTAGATATCTATTGTGTCCTGCTTAAGCCAGGTTTCAATGAGAATAATACAGGAGAAGGGTGTCTTTAGAGAATCAAGGAGTGCCAGGAGGTCATCATAGTGTTTGCTTAAGGACCTGATGTTGTAGTTAAGTAATGTTAGACTTTTAGCAGTATTTAGGATAGCAGTGACTTGTGATGTTGTGTAATAAAGGCAGTTATTTTCCAATAAATTTTCATTGGGTGTTAGATTATGTAGGTTTAGATCAGGGTCAATGTGATCATTCATCTTTTAGGTTTAAATAGTAATTCTTTATATCATGTATAGTGTGGTGAGTTCCAGTACTGATATCTGTAGTAGTGGGATGTTTGGACAAGTATATAGATAATGTACATTGGTCAAATAAAGTGTAGTAACTAATAAACATAATGAATTTGGTGCTGACTATGTATGAGCTAGAATGAACTAAAGTACAACTAGGTATAAACTAATAAGATAAAATTACAAATTAAAATAGCACCAGACTATCACTTATAATTGTGCTAAGGCTAATATAAGCTGTTTACAATAGAGTAGAATAATATGTGAACAGTTCTAATTTAAAGCATGTGAGCTTTTGCAATGTTATGATTAAAGATGGTAATCCACAGATAATTATAGATTGTATGAGAATATTTGGCAATAAAAGAGAGTAGGATAAAACGTGCACAGTTTTCAATTAAAGATTAATTGTAGTTTAGCAATGATATGGTTGTATGATGGTAAACAACTGATATTGATAAACAGAAAGTTGGAATATTTGCAAACAGGTTTATATCAAAAAATATAATCAGGTTTACACAAAAGTATAATAAAATAAAAAATAACAATGATATGGTTGTAAGTAATATGATAGTAAGATGGTACACAAGATAATAAAAAAGTTGGAGTTGAATATACAAGTTTGAATATTTGGCAACAATATTATGCAGAAAATTCGGAGTATGGAAATTAGGAGAAGGTGTGGAGTTAATAAAAGCATTAGTCAGAGGGGAGAAGAGGGGTTGTTGAGGTGGTTTGGTCATTTAGATAGAATGGATCAAAGTAGAATGACATGGAAAGCATATAAATCTATAGGGGAAGGAAAGAGGGGTAGGGGTCGTCCTCGAAAGGGTTGGAAAGAGGGGGTAAAGGAGGTTTTGTGGGCGAGGGGCTTGGA